GCATAACAGACTCCTCCATTAATCATGCCAAATAAATGTTACATATGTATCTGTGTATGCATATGTGTATATATATACACACACACACACACACACAGAGACACATATATGCGCACTCTGAGTCCATCACCTCTTAACCTGGAGGTAAGTAGTAACATGTTTCATCATGAGTCTCTGGACTTGAGGTTGGTTGTTATGTTGATGAGAGTGTTTTTAAGTCTTTCAAACTTGATTTTCCTTAACAGTATTGTTGTTATTGTATAAATTGAGAGAGTGTGTGTGATTTCATTGGAATATTTTTGTCCTACATGATACACAGAAAATTTTAAAAAAACATTTATACTTGCAGAAGTATAATGTTCCTTTGCTCTGCTCTTGAGGGACCCTCATACTATTAGCTACTATTAGTAGGACTTCTTAAGCCGAGCAGCAAGGTGAAAAGTTGTGGCTATACAATTCTTACTCAGCAAGGGGCCCAAAGTATATGTCTTGTAAAATGTGGACTCAGTTACCCTGGAAATAAGTTTCTGAGCCAATGGTACAGGAACAGGAGACAGCATTCAGATCAGAATTAGAAATTGGCACCAAAGTTCAGTGTGCAGTGAAATAGCTATGGCCTTGAGATAGTCAAGATCAGGTACTGGACTCTGCTCACTCAAAATTTGTCATTATTCAAACCAGCATTATCAGTGTCAGGCCTGTCTCCAGGAGCTAACAGGCACCTGGATTTTGAAGTTTCTCAAATCTGTCATTCTTTTTTCTGGCTCCTATAGTGATTTGAAGAAATTCTCCATCATACACTGACATATCTGGTCCTGTGTTTGACTTAGTCCTTCTTTGGGAGCTCTCATCTTAATATCCTAATTTCGTCTTCTCTTTTGAAGAACAATTCTGGAATTTCTTGCTAGTTTGATTATCTTAGGGGGGGTGCACGATATGTAGAATTTCTCTTTTAAATGTTTGCTTTCTTTTAGCACATACTGTTCAGTATATCATGGCCTTTTCTGGAATGTTTGTTCAGTTTTTCTTCTTTAGTAGGATTATAGCTTTTGAGCCAGAAGAGACCAGGGTTCGTTAAGTCTACCCCTCTCTTTTTACAGATGAGAAGTCCAAATCCCAGAGAGGGCAAGTGACTTACTCAGAGGCATACAGTTATTAAGTGTCTGAGACACTCTGGAGGAACTGAGAAACTCTGGTCTTTTTGACTCCAAGTTTAGTGTTCTGATTTGCCATTTAATAGATTCACTATTGGTTAATCTGCTTGGAGATGGGCTCATACCAGACATTTTATTTTGATCATTTTCTTTTTCTATTGTTCTCGGAACTTATATCCAACTTTCTTCTTTTCCTTTTCTACTTCCAGTGTTGCTGTTTGCATGTTTTCTCCTGCTTGACCCTGAGTTAGCCTCCATGAGTTAGAGTTGTGTTCAGTTGTGTCTTTGCCGTGTATAAATAACCCTGGGAGACAATAATGGCTGGGTTTATAAAGCCCTTTCTCTCATGTACATGTAGTATTCTTTATCTCTGGGCCTTTGCTTCTCCCCACCAATCATGAGTTGCATTTCCTTTGCGTAGCAGGGCAAAATCAGTGTTTTCCATCTGTTATACCATGTGTAGGAGTCAGACTAAGTCACTTCTGTGAAGCAACAGGCTTTACCTACCATAGGTGGCCTTTGAAATATACCTGTCATATAATTTTCAGTGTGTACTCAAGCAAACTTGGAGTGGTTAAGGTGAGTGGGAATTTTTAGATAATTAAGTCCTTTGTAATTATTTCAGAAGGCTTTAACTTATATGGAGGTGTTTGTGTATTTTTCTTGTACTTTTAATTACTACAAATGTAGTATATTTTTTGCTATTTTGAGATGATGTGAAGGCATTATGCTGAGAATACCTACATTGCCATGCTACTGGTTATGGGATGTTTAGGCCAATATAATTTTATTGGACCTTACAAATCTGAGAGTGTCTGTATTTTAAGCTGTGGTCCAAAAATAGAAATGTTGTTCTCAGACCCTACCTTCTTTGCCAGCTAAAGGTGGTACAGTGGATAGAAAACCAGGCCTGGAGTCAGGAAGACCCTAAGTTCAAATCTGGCCTCAGATATTTGCTAACACTGTGACCCTCGGCAAGTCATTTAACTGCTGTTTGTCTCAGTTTCCTCATCTGTAAAATAGGTATAATAATGGTACCTACCTCCTAGGGTTGTTGTGAAGGTCAAATGAGATAATTGTAAAGCACTTAGCACAATGCCTGGTACATAATAAATGCTACGTAAATGTTAACTATATTGTCATTTTTCCTGAGCCCCTGCCTTCAGTTGGTAGCAGGAATGAAAACCCAGCTTTTCTTCCCCAAGGTCTTTAGTTTCTTCACCAGGAATTTCACAGTCTTTACTGGTGCTTTTTGGGTTCCTTTGGTCAGTATCATTTGTTCTCTACTTGAATTGCAGTCATAGGAAGTTCTCCATCATATTTTGGGTACATATTCCAGAAATACAGCAAGCAGACCTCTATTGGTAATACCAGGTGGGCAACAAGCTGCCTCAGCAGGAAAGTACCAACCACCAGCAAGCATTTCTTTTTCTTATACCCTCCTGAGATGATAGACAGGTGCATATCTATATCGGCTGCTTCTGTCTCAGAGACTATCTTCCCAGCGTGCCAGAGAAACCTCATATCTAATGCTTATCTTCTGATGTTTAGTGGTCATTTTTCTCTTTCTTTTGTCTCATTTTCTTTCATCTAGAACAGCGGTGGTTTCCTTTGACTGAATCCAAACTTCACAGAACAAACCCTTTTATTAAGGGGATTTATTCTGTGAGGTTTAGAATCAGTCAGAGTGCCCCACTTGAGGACCTGGAGAGCCATATGTGACTCTGAGGCCGCAGATTCCCTGTCCCTGATCTAGACAAAGGTTAGAATTCTCCAGATCTCTCACTTGACCCCTGCAGTTCCCTCAAGCTACTGTTTTATGTAAAGGAAGGCTTTGGGAGTTTAGTTTACCAGCCATCCAGCAAGAGGGGAGAGAGACAACTTTGATTTTATATGATCAGCTTATCCTAGGAGGAAGTGGGGAGGGCATGTTGTTCCTGGAGTAGAAGCTAGGCAGAGCTTCTGAAGGCGAATGAGGAGTATTTGTATTTGTTAACTTTATATTTATGCTGTATATATTATATGGACTTGTATCCCTGATTAGAATTTAAACTTCTTTTGAGTAGAAATTTTTTTTATTCTTCATGCCTTTTTCCCCAGCATCTTAGCTTATCAAACTTCGTAACACTGTGACTTCAGACTTCACCTTTCAATGGAAACTGCTATTTCCAAAGTTGCCAAAGATTTCTTAACTGTTAAATCCAGTGACCTTTTCTTTATCCTCAACTTTCTTGACCTTTTTAGCGTTTTATATTTTTGACCACTTGTTTTCTTCTGAATATATTCTTCCCCTGAGTTTTTGTGACAGTATTCTTCCTGGTCATCAATTCTACTTGTCTGTTACTTCTTTGATCATTCATGTTCTACCCCATAGCCATAGGTATTCTGCTAGGACTCTGTCACAGGTCCTCTTCTTTTCTCCCTCGATACTTTTCTCCCTTGGTTATCTGAATATCTCCTATAGATTCAATTAAATCCTTTATGCAGGTATCTCCCAGATGTAAAGTCCTTTTCTATATCGCCAGCCACCCATAGGTATCTCAAACTCAATATATTCATGATGGAACTGTTCCTATTCTCCAAACATCCCATGTGTCTTCAAGGCATCCTTATTCCTTCAGGCATTCAGCTTCACAACCTCAGACTCTGTCCCTTGTCTTCCCTACCCCTTTATCCAGTCCATTTGCCAAGTTTCATGTCCATAACCAACTCATGCCATTCATCCCGTCCTCTCTTCATATGACTGCCACTCTATTTCATACCCTTATGGACTCCCAGCTTCTCCACTTCCAGTCCATCCTCCACACAGCTACCGAAATAACTTTTCATAAAGCACAGGTATGACTGTGCCATTTCAAGTACCTTTAGTGATTTTTGCCTCTAGGATACACACATTTGTTCCCTGAATACAGCATTCCATCTCAAGCCTCTGTTTTTATTGATACTTTCTGTTTCTTATATTACCATAGTTATCCCATGTATTCCTTCTTTACTCCGTCCCAGAGAGTCATTGTATGTGACAAATAGTATTTTTTAGAAAGGGGAAAAAAAAGCACAACTGATTGAAACATTGGAACAAGTCCCAAAACATGTGCAGTGTGTAACATCTGTGGACTTCCCACCTCTATGAAGGTGTAGGTTAGAAGTGTCTTCTCATCTCTTCATTCAAGTCTTGCTGTCTGGTTTTTTGTACTCTCTCTTCAGTTTCATGTTTTAGAACCTCTTTCCAGGCTAAACTTATGTGCCACCTCCTAAAGGAGTTCACATTCTTTCCCAAATTGGCATCTGTCTACTTACATTCTACTGGAAAGCTGAATGTTGTAAATAGGCATATACCCTGAGGGCAGGGGTATTTTTCATTTTGTCTTTGCCCAGTGTTTAGTAAAAGTTTGTTGGATTGGATGGTTTAGATTTTTCTGTTTTTTTTTATTTTGAAGTCTTACCAGAATTAACTGTTCCTTGGAAAAATGGAAGAAGTAAAAGAGTAAAAAAGTTTTGTTTCTTGAACCTTCTCTCCCGAACTGCCTTGTATTTAACCACTTTATATGTCTTTATACTTACTGACTTTATATTTATGCTGTATATATTTTCTATGTATTTGTTATATCCCCCATTAAAATGTAAGCTGCTTTTGAGTAGGGACTATTTTATACTTGTATTCCCAGAACCTATAGCACAGTGTTGGGCACATAGTAAGCCCTTCCTGAATAACTATTTGTTGATTGAATAACTCCTGAATTTAAAAAAGTAGGCCCAAGGAAAACAACTACCTTAATACCTGTTAACGTTTTTTTTAAAATTCCGTAATTAGACATAACATATTTATAATTTTGTTTTCTACTTCAGAATAACCTTTTGCAGTTGCAATCATTGATAAAGAAGTGGAGAAATAGTAGCCAACTGTTGCTTTTTGAGCTGCAATCAACATTGTCTGTGGGGAATAAGAAACTAAGCCTTACTCAGTTGATAGACAGCTATGGATTAGAAGACGAGTTACTACATTACAACAGAATTGAAGAAGAATTTACAGATTTTTAATTCAGATTATTTTCAGAAATATGCCTTTGAGAAGGAAGGATAGCTCAACTCAAAGATATTTCTGAATGTCAACAAAAAGATACTCCTAAGGAAAGCATAAAAATTATTATGGTTTAAATTGATTGGAACAAGACATTACTGTGATGAAATAAAATTTAGACCATATAAGTTCTGTGGGGAGAATTTGAGTTAAAGAAAAAAATGTAAATAAAAGTATGCTTCTAAAACAATCTGGATTGTTTCTGTCAATTGATATTATTAACAAATTGCTTTAAAAGTTGTTATTTTGATATTACAAAAATGTCTAAAGCCACTTAGCTCCAAATCCTCGTTTCTGTTAATAGTACTGTTTTATTCATTAAACACATTTGGACTTTGATTTTGCATATTCTGATTCCCTTACCTTCTATATGCAGTCTGTCCTGAGAGTTTGTCTCTTGAAACCAGTTCCCTTTTACATGCTTGATGTCCCTGTTCGGCTTTAAGCTCTCATTTTTAACCTGGACTATTGGCAGTATATATTTCTAAAGTAAATTCAAGCACAGCTGTGAATGAATATGTCACTCTCCTCAGAAACGAATAGTAGCTTCTCATTACCTCCTGAGTAAAGTCTTAAATAAATTTGGCATTCTAGGTTCCTAACTTTATCTTCTACTTCCTCATTCCCTTAAGTGTGACCTGCATTTTTGCTTTTCTTTGGGTGATATTATTCAAAACTTACTCATGCCAGTACTAAATTATATTAAGACTTCCTTGAACCCACAAGCCGAAAGTCATTTCTTTTCCTTTCCTGAGCTCCTACAATTTCTCATAGCAGGTATATCTTGCTTTATTATAAAACAATTATGTGTTTGTGTTTTATTTCTCATTCTGGAATGTAGGTTCATTCAGAGAAGGGACTATCTTTATTCATGTTAGTATTCTCTACATGATAAGTATTCAGTGAGTTTGTTGAATGAAATTTAACTATGATTCTTTAGAAACTGGGAACCACAAGCCCCGTTGGGGACTCAAACAATGTTATAGCCAGCCATGGAACTTGTCTACAACACAACCACATCTACCCACTGATTACAGCTCAGTACTGCAATCCATCTCCCAGCTGTGCAGACTCCCAACTTTTCCCCTTATGAGCCTAGCAGCAGCTCCTCATAGTAGTTATAACCTGAGCTGGACTGCAGCACTTAAGGTGTTATTAGGTATGCCCTCTAGTATACACATTTTTTTTTAAAAAAAGGTTTATTTTTATTAATAGAGGTACATAATCAAAAAAGTTTGAAGACCACCACTTTGGAAAACAAGTACATAAGTGGGGAAAAAAATGGTGCATTAAGAAGCAGAATAGAGATAGAAATAGGACCTGTGATTTCATTGGCGTAGGGAACTTGCTCTGCACGTCAGCACTTTCTCTGTAACCTATTGTCTTACAGTTGTGCATTCAGAGCTTTAAATGGTTCACCGAGTATCATACAGCTGGTATATGTTAGAAGTGGGGGTTAAACTTGGCTTAACCATTATACTATGGTTAAGTGCAATTCCACTGAAGACTTTGCAGCGATAACTCATTGTGGCATGGAGATGGAGCAGGTCCTACACCAAGTTGGAAAGGTTTTAAATCTTACCTGTACTTAACTAAGGACCAAATTTTTGACAGCCCTGAAGACAATCAATTATAGTGGGTCTGTGATCTATGATCTATCAAAGGAGTATCCATAATGACAAGAAATCATAGATCCTTGAAATAATGGTAAAACTTTTTTTTCTTGAATGTTTTCTTTAATAAGACATTACAGCATGCAACTGAGCCTCCAGTGTGTCAGTTAACAGGGGTTATAGTCATATGAAAGAGTGGAAACAAACAACAATTAAATGTGTTATAGAATATTCAACTTACAAAAATATTTAGTTAGGGCTCTGAAATTTGAAGATTTTCCCCTATCGAAGATTTAACTCAACAATAACCAAAAAAAAGAATAGCTGGTAGAACAATTCACATATTAAGTCTGAGAATTAAAGGTTTTGTGCAAGATAAATGCAGCAATTTTTCCTACCACTGTGATACAGCTTTAAATGTGGTTCTTTAGCTTCTCATAATGAATTGAATACAAACATAAAAACCTTTTAGTAAAAAATTATACAATTAACTGAAAGAAAAACAAATTCAAAGAGAATGATTTTTTAAAAATAAAAAACACCAAACATTGAAAAATCATATACTCAGAATACTTCCTTTTAACTGAAATTAACCAGCATAACACCCAGCACATGAATAAAGGCAGAACTCTAGCATTCTGGTAAATCACTGTTAAGATATCATATAACAAATAGTCATATAACATTTAGGGAATAGAAAAGGGTACTAAAAGATTTTCCTTTGGTCAGGTGGACAACAAGAGTTTTCTTATGAACTATCTCCATCAGATCATTAGTTCTTTCCCTTAGAGCCTCATTTTAAACAGTAATAATACATACAATGTAGATGATGCAGAACTGTAGGAAGAATCTGCAATGACAGAAGGATACAATCTGATGTCCATAAAATCTGGTTACTAGTGTGTGCTACTGTCCCCCTAAGTGTATATTTGAATACTGTTCTTCCTATTACATTTTTAAAAAATCAGATCAGTTAAAATGGACTCTATTAACAAATTTAATCTCTCTGTTGTGATGAGAATAAATTAAGAAGCAATTTCTAAACATAGCCTCTCTTCACCTGGCAGGATTTAACTTCATTTGAATTCTCTTCTCCACAAATACTTTTAACATACCTATAAAACAAGTCTATGGGTGTAAAACTGTTCACAAAACTGTTCTTAGACCCTTAATCCAAATTCATTGTATATGGCCTTTAAGAGTTTAAAATAATACCAAAATACACTCTTAAAAGCAATGATACTATATGGATACTTAGCTTGAGTATATCATTCCATTCTTCCTATTAATGACATTTACAAAACACAAAAGTAGCCCATTTAAACTAATTCACTTATCAATTATTTTGGCAAATATTTAAAATAATCCTTTCAGAAGTTTAACCTTCAAATTAAAACCACCTAGAATAATTTTGAAAGAGACTGAATTATTATAGACTGAAGACAGACCAGTTTATAGTTATAAATTTTCCAAACTTAATCTTACATAAAATGGTTAAATAATTTTTCACCTCGCTCATAATGGCAGATACATACTTTAGAACCTTATTTTTTACAAGGAAAACTCTGTTCCTTCGATCATTTACCAAATACTTGTAAGCTGTTCTTTAACCAATAATTTAATTTATATCCAATTCAGAGCCAGCAAGAAAAGGATTATTTTGTCAAATTTGTTTTCTTTAGAACCTGTCCCAAGTTGTTTTCAGTACTGATACACCCAATACAGGCACAACTGAAGAAAGGGGGAATGGCACATAATTTTTAAGAAGTTTTACTAAATGAACCTACAAATTAAAATATTTATCAAGTTTATAATGACAGCAGTTAATCAATGCTTCTTTTGTTTCATTAGCAGGCTACCTAAAATAATACGACAGGAATATATGTATTGAGTGAGTCTGCTTTAGTTTGAATATGGTGAAGCTTTTTATGAATTTATTTTCATGTGTGTGTTTCCTGAGCTCCTTTACTGAACACATCAAGACTGTTGTATATACTATTAGTATGGTGTCAAAAGAAGAAAGCAGTGGGTTATGAAGTTACAAGAATATACTTTATTCTAACAACCAAACTGTCGTGAATAGTATGAGATGTTATAATGAATTCAGGCTCTAGTTGTGGTCTACCCTGGCTAAGGAAGAATTAATACCATTTTTAAAACGTGATCAATTTACCTCATTGGTAGAATGAGGCCTAATGCGTTTAATGTTTTATTTTGAAAAATTGCCTTGATGAGGAGCCAAGATAGTAGAGCCAGAAATCCAACTGAATTATCTTAATATTCCCCTCAAAAAAACCTTTAATGCCTCAAATTGAATTCATGAGCAACAGAGCCAAAAAAAGGTTGAGGTGAGATAATTTTCCAGCCTAAGACACTGAGGAGGCTTGTAGGAGAGCTCTGTTACACTGGGGTAGGGGGTGTTGGACTGGAGTGCATGTGAGTGGTAGCACTAGTGGCTGGCTAGCAGCAGCTTTGGGAGCTCTTGGTAAGGAGGTCTGACAACTGGTCAGAAAGATTGCAGGGGACCTTTTGCTGGTTGGCACCTGGGTGCAGGGTCTGATGCTGTTTGGCAGCCCTACTGCCTGTACACCATTCTGGGTTTCAGTTTTAGGGCAGAGAAGAGTGTTTATGGTCAATCACAAGGGAGCAGGGGCCCTTGGTTGCAATTCTAGGGCCAAAAGGAGTGTTAGTACTTGTGGTTACAAGGAAGCAGGTGCTCTTCCTGAGTAAAGACTAGAGGGCAGACCGAGACAGCAGTGACCATACCTCTCCCTGGATCACCCCACCCTGGAAACACCAAAAACTTGCAGACCTGCTAGCTAGTTCTGAAAACAGCAACAGGAAAAAATCTGAAGCTTGGGACATTGCCTCTTCACCCCAAGGTGAGCAAAGCGCAACTGTAACATAAAGTTCAAAGTTCAGAAATAGGCTGAAAAAATGAGCAAACCACCACCACCACAACAACAAAAAACTTGTGGCAGGGAAGACAAGACAAACTCAGAAGACAAGTAAAAATACCTGTAAACAAAGCCTCAAAGGGAAAAAAAAAGGCTAATTGATCACAAGCCCAACAAGAATTCCTGGAAGAATTAAAGAAAGATATAAGAGTGGTAGAGGAAAAATTGGGAAAAGAAATGAGAGTGATACAAGAAAATTGTGATAAGAGAACAGCTTGGTAAAAGAGGCAGAAAATATCACTTTTAAAAACAGAATTAGCCTAATGGTAAAACAGGTACAAAAATTTGCTGAAGAAAAATAACTTAAAAAGCAGAATGGGCCAAATGGAAAAAAAAAAAGAGGTACACAAGCTCACTGAAGAAAACAATTCCTTAAAAATTAAAATTGGGCAAGTGGAAGCTAATGACTCCACAAGACACCACAAAACAATATAATAAAGTCAAAAGAATAAAAAAAATAGAAAATGTGAACTATCAGAAAAACAGCTGACATGGAAAACAGATCAAGGAAAGAAAATCTGAGAATTATTGGATTACATACATATAACCTATATCAAATTGCTTGCCTTTTTTAAGAAGAGGGGAGGGGAAGAGAGGAGGGAAATTTGAATCTCAAAATTTTATAAAAATTAATGCTAAAATTGTCTTTACATACAATTGAGAAAAATACTATTGAAAAATTATTGTACTAACTAAAAGCCATGATTGAAAAAAATAGCCTAGATTCATATATCAAGAAATTTAAAGGAAAACTGCCCTGATATTTCATAAACAGAGGGTGAAATAGAAATTGAAAGAATCCACTGGTCACCTCCTAAAAGAGATCCCAAAATGAAAAATCCCAGGAATATTACAGCCAATTCCAAAGCTCCCAGTCAAGAAGAAAATATTGCAAGCAGCCAGAAAGAAACAATTCAGATATTATGAAGCCACAGTCAATATCACACAAGATGTAGTGGCTTCCATATTAAAATAAAGCAGGGTTTGGAATATGATATTCCAGAGGGCAAAGCAGCTAGGATTATAACCACAAGTCACCTACCCAGCAAAACTGAGTATAATCTTTCAGGGAAAAAAAATGAATATTAAATGAAATAGAACACTTTCAAGCATTTCTGATGAAAAGAGCAGAGGCACAAAAAATACTGGGAAAAAACCCTTAAAAAAACTATGCCCAAAGGGCTATAAAAATATGCATACCCTTTTACCCAGCAATACCACTATTAGTTCTGTATCCCAAAGAGATCATAAAAAAGAGGAAAGGACCCACATGTACAAAAATATTTATAGCAGCTCTTTTTGTGGTGGCAAAGAATTGGAAATTGAGGGGATGCCCATCATTTGAGGAATGGCTGAACAAGTTGTGGTATATGAATGTAATGAAATGTTATTGTGCTATAAGAAATGATGAGCAAGTATATTACAGAAAAACCTGGAATTCTATGAACTCATGCTGAGTGAAGGAGAACATTGCATACAGTGACAGCAACATTGTATGATGACCAACTTTGATAGACTTAACTCTTCTTAGCAATGCATTGATCTAAGACAGTTCCAAAAGACTCATGATGGAAAATGCTATCCACATCCAGAGAAAGAACTGTGAAGTCTGAATGCAGATCAAAGCATCTAGATTCTCTTTTTCTTTCTTGTGGTTTTTCCCTTTTGTTCTGATTCTTCTTTCAAAACATGACTAATGTGGAAATATGTCTAATGTGATTGTACATGTATAGCTTATATCAAATTGTTTGCCATCTTGGGGAGGAAAGAGGGGGGAAATTTGGAACTCAAAATCTTGTAAAAATGAACATTGAACAACTGCCCTGATATCTTAGATCCAAAGTGTAAAATAGAAATGGAGGAATCCACTGATCACTCCCTGACAGAGATCCCAAAATGAAAACTCCCAAGAATATTACAGCCAAATTCCAGAGCTTCCAGGTCAAAGAGAAAATACTTCAAGCAGCCAGAAAGAAACAATTCCAATATTATGGAGCCACAGTCAGTTATCACACAAGATTTAGCAGCATTTTGGAAGGCAAAGGAGCTAGGATTACAGACAAGAATAACCTACCAGCAAAACTGAATATATAATCCTTCAGGGGGGAAAATGGATATTTCATGAAATAGAGGACTTTCAAGCATTCCTAATGAAAAGACGGTGAATTAAGATTTGACATTCAAGCACAGAACTCAAGAGAAGCATAAAAAGGTAAACATGAAAGAGAAATTATAGTGAGCTCAATAAAGTGAATTTTTGTACCTCTTTTACCATTAGGGCCAACTCTGTTTTTGAAGGTATTATTTTCTTTGGTAATTGTTGCGCCTCTTTTACCAAACTATTACTCTTTTCATAATTTTCTTGCATCACTTTCATTTCTTTTCCCAATTTTTCCTCTACCACTCTTATCTCTTTAACTCTTCCTGGAATTCTTTTTGGGTTTGTGTCCAATTGGCCCCTTTTTAAGGCTTTGTTTATAGATGTTTCCACAGTGTTGTCTTCTGAGTGTGTGTCTTAGTCTTCCCTGTCACCTTAGTAGCTTTTTATGGTCAATTTTTTGTTTGTTTATTTTTCCAGCTATTTGTGGGAAATTGGTACACTAATGAACTGTTGTGAACTGGTCTAACCATTCTAGAGAACAATTGGAACTACACCAAAAGGGTTATATAATTATGTATACTCTTTCGCCCAGAAATACCACTACTAGGTCTGCATCTAAGAAATAAAAGAAAAGGACCTATATATAGAAAAATATTTATTGCAGTTCTTTTTGTGGTGGCAAAAAAATTGGAAATAGAGGTGTCCCTCAGTTGGGGAATGGCCGAACAAGTTGTGGTATATGATTGTCAATAACAGCAATAGGACGACTATGAAAGACTTAGTTATTCTGACAAATACAATGATCCAAGACAATTTGAAAGGACTCATGTTGAAAATTGCTATCTACTTCCACAGAGAGAACTGATGAAGTCTGAGGGCAAATTGAAGTATGATTTTCTCACTTTATTTTTCTTGCCTTTTTTTTTTTTTTGGTAACATGGCTAATCTGGAAACATATTTTGCATGATTTCACATGTATGATGTTTATCATATTGCTTGCCTTCTCAGTGGAGTAGGGGAAGGATTTGTGGGATGCAGAGAATTTCAAACTTAATTTTAAAAAAGGTTGAAAATAAATAATAAAATAAAAACAACAAACAAACATTAGAACCTAAAAATGTTTATGCTTTAGATATGAGTGAAAAAAGTTCTCTTGTTTATCAAATAAAGCAACTCACATTTTTTCCGTTAAAAAAAAAAGAAAAATTGCCTTAATTTTCCATATTATACTTGAGAAAGTGTCCATTGGGTAAATGAATAAAATAGATCTTGTTTACTTTCCATTGAGACAATAGTCTTTTTTTAAAAATATGCTTTAATAATATGCTTTTTATTATTCGTTTTCAAATATATCATCTACTTCTCTCAGAATAATAAAAAGGAGAAAAAACAGTTCAGAAAACTAATCAACACATCATCTAATCTGATATGTACAGTTTTCCACACCCATAGTACCCTCCTTCTTCAATGAAAGGATCAAGGAACATTCTCTTCTTTGGAGCCCAGCTTCATCATAATTTCACAACATTCACTTGATTTTGTTCTTTCCAATGACATTGCTATAGCCAGAGTGTAGATGTTTTTGTGGTTCTGCTAACTTCATTTTGTATTGTAAAATAGAAATCTTTCCCTACTTCTCTGTTTCTTTCATATTCATCATTTCTCACAGTGTAGCACTATTCCACTCCCAACTGATGGACACATACTTTGTTTTCTGTTCTTTCCAACTACAAAAAGTCATGCTAATATTTTTGATATACATAGAAACTTTTTATCATTTACTGTCTTGATGCCTTTTACTAAGATCTCTGGGTTAAAAAGTGTGGACATTTTAATTACTTTCTTAGTATAGCATACTGCAAATACTTAATCTTGCTTACTCTTAAACAGAGACACTCTGATAGTTTTTTAAAATCACTTTTATTAAGTAAGTACAGAATTTACATTTTTACAATCTTTTTGGGAAGAGATAAATAATTTCAACTAAGGGTAGATTTTAAGGGGAAAAAAACCCAGTATTTTGTTTTTCTCTCACTGAAGAAAAGAAATTTCAAATGCCTGAGAACAGAGATTTCTTCATGACATTTGATATCTTCTGCCTCACATATTTTGCCAGCATTTCTACATATGAATAAGTGCAGGAAATGTTTTCATTCTTAATCTTTCAACTTCAGCCTGTAAAATTGAAATCTGTTCATACTGCTCTTTTGAAATATCTATTAGCTTTTGTTGTTGTATTGTAGCCTCAAAACGTTTCCTGGAAATCTTTTCACAAGTCAGCTTAACCTCTGTTTCAAAAAACAACAAAGTGGAATCACTGTCTAAAATATTGAGGAAATGTCATTTGTCATGACGAGTTTTAATAACATTTTCAAATATATCAAGAACTTCATTAACTGATATTACAAAATGGTAAACTGATGTGCAGCTTTTAAATCTGCTAGCCAACTTTTTAACTTTAGAAGGGTAATTTTATCATATCCCACAATTGGTAAAAATTGGCTTACCAATTGATTGACAGATGTTTTTTCTTTCAGAGACACACACCAACTCTTCATGTAGATTGCAGCTTAGAACATAATTTGCTAAATCTTGTTGATTGTTGATTTTTCTCAGTTTCTTGAGTAACTGTTTTTGGCCTTCCACATCTCTTTTGTGGGTCTAGAAATTTTATCATGACACCATCACCCCCCCCAAAGAAAAAATATGTGAAAAAGGCATTGGAACTTATTATGTGAGGATGCTATTAAAAAGCTTAACCATATTCTTTTATGTGTGAATTATCATTGACATAATTTCAATCAAAATACTCTGGAATAACCCTGAAAATTGAAGCAATAAGAGTAAAAAAATTGAACATCATCTTAGCCCAAAATGACTTTGTATTTACTTTGTGTAGGATGCTTAGGAAAGATTACAAACATTTTATCAGACGTAAGTTTTTCAAGTACTAACGCCATCCAGTTGGCTCTGAATGTCTGAACTATAGGATTGATGGATACAAGGTCACTCACTCAATGACACTTATCACAAACAAGTTGCTGAGGTGATTATAATATATTACCAGGTTTCCCGGACTAGCGATAGATTATGATTGCAGAACTGAAATTCCCTGCTCTCTAATCCTTCTCTTTGCCTAATGTGATCTCTAATCTCTGTTCTCTTTCATCCCTCACCATTCTCCCAGTTAATCAGCTTTACTCTGGCTTCTTTCTTTTTTCCATCTTATGACTGGAATGCCCTCCCTCCTCACCTCTGCATCACAGAATCTCTCTCTTCAAACCACAACTCAAGTACCACCTTCGACATCTGAAATCTTTCTTGATCCCCACCAACTGCTAGGGCCCTGCCTGCCTAACTTTGTATTGAAATATTTTCTCTTTATTTGTATTTTCTTTATATGTATTCTGTATATACTTACATATATTCTTATGTCCCATAGTATAATGTAAGCTCCTTAAGAGAAGAGGTTGTTTCATTCTTTGTATTTGCATCCCCAGTCTGGCATATGTAGGTGCTTAATTAATGGTTGTTGATTATTTTTTCATTCACTCAATTCTCCCCTTTGCCACATCTCAAAATCCCTCTACCTACATATATTCTCCTCCTTTGCTCCAGACTCCCATGAAAATTTGACCAAGGTCAAACCCTATATTTGTGCCCTTGATTCCAACCCCTGCCTTTTTTCCTCTTGTTGCTTGCCCCATAGATCTTTCTTACTTATGGGCTTCTTCCTAGCTGTCCATTAACACATATCTCTCATTCTTAGAATTTGTTTATATGACCCTGTCATCCATTCAAGCTATTGTCCTGTGTCTCTTTTTCCTTTTCACTGCAAAATTCCTAGAAAGTTGCCCACATTGCTATCTACACTTACTTTCCAACCACTTTCATTCTTGCTCTCTTCCCTCTTCTCCCAGCTCTACTCAAAGGTTGCCAATAATCTCTTCACTATTAAATTTAAGGGCCTTTCCTTAGTCATTGTATTCCTTGATCTCTTTTCAACTATTGACTCTATTGATTACCCTCTTTTGGATACTGTCTCTTCCTTTGGTATGTGGGGTGTTGCTCTCTCCTGGTTCTTTTAATTGTCTGCTCTTTTGTTCTGTCTCCCTGAACACATGGTTTATACTTTATCCCTTGGTCTTCTCATCTGTTCTCATGGGTTCAATTATGAACTCTGTAGACTAGCCATAATCTCTTTTGAACTCATAATCTCACGTTGCCAGTTGCCTCTGCTGGACATTTCCACCTGGATATGCCATTAGTATCTGTAAGGTGATAGGTTTAGAGCTTATCTTCCCCTCACTCTCATTCAAATTTCCTCCTAATCACCCAGATTAGCCTCTCTGCTTTTAGTATTTTGTGCTCTCTAGCTTCCATATAGGAACTGCCAAAATAATCTTCCTAAGATGATGTCACTCCCAAGCTAAAAACCAACCATAACAACCAAAGCTTCTAAGAAAAACTTTGAACTCCTCGAGCTGGCATTTAACGCCTTATCACAAATGACTGCCCTTCATACCCTCTACACTGTAGCCAAATTGGCCATGCCACCTGTAGCTTCTATGAATTTGCATCTGTTGCCATGCCTGGGATGTATTCTTTTCTAATTATCTTCACCGAATCCTCATCTTTAATACTCTGCTTAGCTGCCTCTTCCATGAAGCCTTACTTGCCATAGATTCCCTTGTGGTTATCTACAGGTAATAGATATGATTTCCACTCCCACCCTTTGCCCCCCAGCACATACTCCTTGAAAGCAGGGCTACCTTTGTTTTTTGTCTTTGTCTCCCCAGCAACCAAAGACATTTTGCACATTAGGTGCATCATAAATATTAAAGTGAACTTAGATACCTGATAATTAAAACCTCTAATTTCACCCTGAAACTCATTACAAGCATTAATTTAGGAACATTTCAGAATTTATATTATATACAGTGAGGCTGAATCTTACTTTATCTATAGCAGCAAGAGTCTGCTCCATTAGAGAAATTTGGAGGGCAACCAGGATATCATAATTTTCTTCTTTTAGGTACTAGGAGGAAGAAAGATCAAATTAATACAAATGAAAAGTTCACATTCTTTGTTATTTTGCCTATTTTAATAAGCAGATAATGTGTCATTCTGCTCTGTATTCAAAGATGCTATTTGTTTGCCATGATTTTTTTTACCACCCTCTTTAGATACTAACATTCTATGTACAGTGATGGTAATTTACATTTGACCACCCACACTCTAATCTGTGTCCCTCAAGTCTTGGTACTCATTTTCCACCTATTTCCACTCCAGGATGTCATCATAGTCTCAAGAAATTTATCAACTTGCAAGGTCACACCAATTCTGAAACTCCTCTGTATGCCCTACTCCTGGGGCCCCTACCTTCCTCTGATGGAGAGCTCCTCCAAGATCCTCCTATTAAGGAGGGGGCAGGGTGGTCATCTCATCATTTCCCATACTTCTCTTCTCCTCTGGACTTCATCATGCCCCCAGGCCAGATATCTCTCCCCCTCATCTGGACTTCACAGCATCTTTTTACATGTTGTCTTTGCCGATTCAATTGTGAATTCTTTGAGAGCAGGAACTAGCTTTTGCTATCTTTGTATCCCCAGGAGACATTACAGTGCCTGGCACATAGCAGGTGCTTAATATTTATTGACTGAATCTTACTCTCCTCTCACCCCACAAATATAATCAATTGTCAAATCAAATCTGACTCCTTTCTATTCACACAGTTGCTACTTTAGCTTAGGCCCTCATCACTTCTTGCCTTGATTATTGCCATAGCCTCTTAATTGGTCTTCCAGCTTTCTAGTCCAACCTCCTTCATGCTGGTTACAAAAGGTGATTTTCCTTATGCACAGATCTATGTCACTTCCCTACCCAGTAAATTCCAAAAGCTTCCCATTGCCTCTAAGATAAATTATAAACCCTTCTGTTTACCTTTCAAAACCTTTCACAATCTTGCCCCAACCTTCTTGCCCTCCTCTTACATTCCTCATCTTCCCATATTCTGTGACTGAGTCAAACCAGCCCCATTTGTTCTTCTCACGATACTCCATTTCCTACCTCCATGCCTTTGCAATGTTTGCTCCTCATGCCTAGAATGCCCTCCCTCTTCATTTCCATATGTTAAATACCACCTTATAAATATGAAGCCATTCTAGCCTTACCTGCTAATAACTTACTTTTTAAACTATGGTGTATTTAACTACTTTGTATTTACTCTATATGTACAAATTTCCATAGGTATTTGCAGTTTATCCGGTTAGAATGTAAGTTACTTTTGAGTAGGGGTTGTTTCATTCACTGTATTTATATCAGCCTGGCACATAGTAAGCACTTAATAAATACTTGCTGATTGACTGATAATTATAGAATCAAAAGAGGTTTTATAAAATGCTACTGGATCCATGTGAATAATTTTTAAAGGTGATCTATATTCAAAAGAGTAATTTACCAACTGATGAGCTCTTGAAAAAAATAGCATCTGAATATCCCAAGCCTTTTGGTTGAGGTCTTCCATTTCCATCTCCATTTTTTTATGTTCCCACTCGATCTGAAATATTGCTTTGTGATACTTTTTATTTTCTACCATGTTGGTGATTTTCCTTTGACCTTGGGCCTTGCAAAAAAAAATTATACATTGTAATGTTTAGATTATACAATTCTGTACATCCTAGAGATGATTATACTGTTATAAAAATGTAACTCTTTGGAGGGGGCTGGTAAAGACCTGACCATTGTTACAAGGCACTAGCCTTGTAACTAGATATAACTAGATAAAACTAGATCCTCTGAGATGATAATAGTTAGCATTTGCTTAGTGCTTTAAGGTTTGCAAAATGCCTTACAAATATCTTATTTTATCCTCATACGCATCCTGGGGAGGTAGATACTATTATCACCTTCATTTAATAGATGAGGAAAACAGCCAAACAAGTAAACTGACTTTTCCAGGGCCACACAGCTAGTTAAATGTATGAGACTGGATTGGATTCAGGTTTTTCTGAGTCAAGTATCAGCTCTCTATCCATTGTGCCACCTCTAAAAGACAAGCAAGAAGAAAAAAAAAAGGCCTTCCAGCCTTCAGGAATTGTAAACAAGAAGCAACCTTAAAGATACCTTCAAGAAAGTGTCTCCCATCCATGTCAGAATTATATAAAATTCCTTGAAATATGTAACAACAGATAATTTGTGACAATAACAGTGAACCTCTGATTTTTAATATCAACTTGAGGTATAAAACAAGAAGTATATGACAACACTTTGCCACTGTCATGGAGGATATCCATTAAAGGGTTCAAATTGAAGGATGATTCTCTGTAGATTCATATGTGCTTCAAGTGCTCCTTTTTCATATGACATGTTTTGATTGCATCAAGCTCTGGAATACTGCTGAATCTCATAAATGAAATCTGTAATTACTTAAAGTAGTTTGGCACAACAATCCACTCTGGAAAAACAAGTGGATGAAGAATACCTATCATCTACATTATGATATATAGCAATATCTAGCATTTATATAGCACTTCAGGCTTCCAAAATGCTTTATTAATATCTCATTTTATGTTCACAACAATCCTGAGAGGCTGGTTGTTTTAGTATTAGTCCATCCTCCCTCCATTCAGCCACTAAAATGATTTTCCTAAAGTGCAACTCCCAAACTCAATAAACTCCAGTGGCTCCCTGTCACCTCCAGGATCAAATATAAAATACTCTCCTTGGCATTCAAAGCCTTTCCAGGCTTTTTAGTACTCTGATCCAGTGACTATGGCCCCATGATTGTCCATAAACAAGATGCTCTATCTCTCAGCCCCAGGCATTTTCTCTGGCTGTCCCCCATGCCTGCTATGCTTCCCTCATCTCTGCATCCTGACTTCCTTGGCTTCTTTCCAAGTCCCAGCTAAAATTCAGCCTTTACAGGAAGTCTTTCTCTCAATTTCTCTTAATTCTAGTGCCTTGCTTCTGTCAATTATTTCCTATCTATCCTATCTAGAGTCTGTTTATACATAGGTGTTTGTATGTTGTCTCCTCCTTTAGATGGTGAACTGGAAGGCAGGGACTGTCCTGCCTTTCTTTGTATTCCCAGCACTTAGCACAGTGTCTGGTACAGAGCAGCTACTTATTAATAAATGCTTGCTGACTTCTTACAGATGAGGGAACTGAGGCACAGAGAGCCTAAGAGACTTGCCCAGGGTCACACATCTAATAAGTGTCTGAGGCTAGATTTGAACCCAGGTCTTCCTGACTCCAGATCTGTAAAAATATCATGTGTCAACACTGACAATAACCTGGACTTGGAGTTAAATAGGAAACAAGAGTAAGATGGGTTACCCTTGGAAAACCCTGCCGTGTTTTTAATGACCTCAAGTGTTTTCTTCAAACAAAGGTCTCTCTTCTTGTGATGCTATATGGCTATCAATCACAGTTTCCTTAAAATTAACTTACGGATTACTGAAGAGCACTGGTGAGTGTGAAGATGTGGCAGCATATTACTAGTGATTAAAAGGTTATCATCAGGGAGTTATATGACACTGAGGAAAGAAGGCAAGGACAGGCAGCATTGGGCCAAGTGTGACTTCTGTCTCCTGCTGCCCTTACCTTTCTCCAGCCTCCTCCAAGAGGAGCAAAGCTCAACTTTGCATGTGACCACCTCCTTCTATCTCCTGTGCATGGCCCCTAAGGGAGGAGGAAGAGGAAAGGAAGCATGGGATTGGACCTGACTTCCATCTCCTGCTGAGCCATCTCCTGCCTAATCTCCAGCCTTCACTGGGAAGAGGAGAAGAAAAAAGAGGCCTTCCATCTGACCATGAACGTTCTATCATGCTGTGGGTGTATCCTGCCTGATCTCCAGCCTACTCTGGGAAGAAGAAAAGTGCCTTTCATTTAAAGATTAACATACTCATACCTGGTCCTACAACCACAAATCTCAGTGATTCTGAACCCCTGCAAGTCATTCAAATCCCATTTCCCATTACATGGCTTTTTTTTGGGGGGGAGCTAGGAATGGGGTTAAATGACTTGCCTGGAGTCACACAGCTAGTAAGTGTCAAGTGTCTGAGGCTGGATTTGAATTCAGGTCCTCCTGACTCCAGGGCTTGTGCTCTATCCATTGCACCACCTAGCTGCCCCTACATGATTTCTTACTCCCAGATTTAACCCTCCCACCCTAAAGTCCTAACCAAATGCTACCTATCCCTCCCACCATACCCTCTGGAATGCCTGCTCCATGGCAATAAACTTGCCTTCATCTAAATCTTTTCCTTTTCTGTCTTACCATCTTCTGGCAGTCACTAAGATCTGACTCCCACCTAATGACAGCCTTTCTGGCTACCCCTTCTAGTACTGGCTGCACTTTCACTCATTTCCTCAACTCACTGGTTGAAGTAGGGGAATTAGAATAATCTTCACTCCCCTTTGCCACTTCCAGATTATCTTCTATTACCATCATGTAGTAACCTCCCCTCCTTTGAGATCCATACAATCTACAGTTTCCAATCAATCAGAATAGTGGTAGTTATTGTTTACAGACCCCCAAGGCACTCCTCTTCTTTTCTCAATGAGTTCCATGCCTGGCTTACATTTTTTCTCTCCTCCCCAACTCATGCCCTTATACTAGGGGATTTCAACATACATATTGATACTCCCTCAAACACCCAGTTCCCCAACCTATTCACTTTCCATGACTGTCTCTGCCACACACAAAGATGGTCATGCCCTTGATTTTACCATCATTTACAAATATGCCACCTCCATATTCAAGAATCCTGAAATCCCCTTTTCTGATCACAACCTATTGACTTTCCAAATGCCCTTCTGCCTTCCCATAGCAAACCCTATTCTTTGTCCACACTGTGACCTCCAATCCTTTGACCCCTGAGTTCTTTCCCAGGCCATCTCCCCTGAACTTGCCACTCTCTCCTCTTTTCCCCATCTTGACCCCTTGATGAACCAGTTCAACTCTACATTATTTTCTACTTTTGAGTTTCTTTCCCCTTTATCATATGACCAAATGTACCCTGCCAGGCTTTGAATCACTCCCAGAATCCACTGCTTTCACACATACACACATGCTGCATAATGAAGGTAGAGAAGATCATGCAACTGTTCTAACTGGGTCCACTACAAATTTATGTTACTTAACCTCAGTTGGGTCCTTACTGCTGCTATTTAATCCTTCTATACCACCCTTATCAGCTTACTACTCCACTCTCAAATTATCAATTGAAATATTTGTAAAATGTACTTAGCACAGTGCCTGACACAGAGTAGCATTACATAAATATTTGTTCCATTCCACACCTTTCCACACCCTTTCCAAACCTGTTTTCATTCCTCCTCAACCCTCCTATGTCTCACCCCTCCTGTCACCCTTGCAGCTAACAATCTTGCCTCATATTTTACTGAAAAAAACTGAGGCAGTTTGACAAGAGCTCCCAATGCCTTCTGCCAACTCTTTCTTCTCTTTCACTGTCTCACATGAAGAGGTGGGCCCTACTCCTTGCCAGGCTTAACCTCTTCTACCTGCACAATTGATCTCATTCCATCCTATCTCCATCCCCTCTCTTTATCTTCAATCTCTCATCTCCTTGCCTCATAACTATAAACATGCTCATGCCTCTCCCATCCTCATAAACCCTTATTTGACCTTTCAATCTTGTAACCATCATCCTATATATCTTCTGATCTTTGTGGCTAAACTCCTTGAGAAGGCCATCTATAATAGATGCCTCTGTTTCCTCTTCTTCTCTTAACCTACTACAATTCTGCTTTTGACCTACTCATTCCATGGAAACTGCTCTGTCCAAACTTAGCAATGACCTCCTAATTTCCAAGTCCAATATCATTTTCTCAATCTTCATTCTTCCTGACCCCTCTGTAGCCTTTGACATTTTTGATAATCTTTTTCTCCTTAATTATCTTTTTCTCTCTAGGTTTTTGGGACACTCCTCTCTCCTAATTCTCCTCCTACCTATCAGATTGTTCCTTCTCAGTCTCTCTCGTCAGATCCCCATCTAGGTAATGACTACTTTGGTGTCCCAAAGGGTCCTTTTGTCTTAGGCCCTCTTCTTTTCTCCCTCTATAATACTCTACGTGGTGCTCTCCATCTCTATGCTGATGATTTTCAAACCAGCTCATCTGGCCTTGGATCTCATATCTCCAACAGCCTTTCAGAAATCTCAAACTGGATGTCTAGCAGACAGCATGTTCAAAACTGAACGTATCTTTCTTCCTAAACCCTCCTCCCTTCCAAACTTCCTTATTACTATCAAGAGCACCACCTTTCTCTCAGTCCCCTAGGCCCAAAACCTAAATATCATCCTTGACTCTTTACTCTCTTACCTTCCATATCCCACCTGCTCCCAAGACCTGTTAATTCCACATTTACAACATCTCTCAATATGCCCCCTCTCTCCTCTGACACCCTGGTGTGTGTCTCCGTCTCCATATCTCCATTGTCTGAACTACTGCAATAACCTTGTGGTTGATATGCCTGCCCCAAGTCTCTCCTCAACTCTAGTTCATGCTCCATTCGGCTGCCAAATTAAGTGATTTTCCTAAAACATGGACCTGACCATGTCACCCCCATACTCAATAAACTACAGTCGCTCCCTATCACCT